CAAAAGAGATATGATGAGAGTCTGTTTAACTCGCACAGGATCTCACACTTTTACATCGGTGGGGACAGTAAGAACCAAAGTGCAACGGGCGGCCACGTGACGGTGACCAACGTCATGCTTTACAACGAGAAACTCTTAAGTGATAATCTGTATGATCTCCAAGACAGCAAAGTCACTATTCCATCACTGGGCGCTGAGAAACAGCCCACAGAACTGGTGGCCAACACGGCCACTTTGGTTGTTCCCGAGTCAAAGAGTGAAGAAATCACCGCCAGCCATGAGGAAATGAATGAGGATGATCCTGAAAAACAAGAGGAAGAAAGTGTCGATGATCCGGTGCCTGCAGCGTCCCCTTCCACGGTTGACGCGGGATCATTTGTTTCTGAGCCTGCCATCGCAGCGGAGAGCGCAGAGAATTCTCTTTCAGATGACAATGCCCAGTTTCACCAGGGCAAAACGGCCCAGCAAGCCACGCCGAATGAAGAGAATAAATCGATGCAGCGGGGTTCAGATGTGCAGACACAATACTCACAGTCAAAGAAATTAACGGAGTTCAATGATGTTGAAAAATCCTCTGAAAGTTATGATACACAACTGCCAGAGGAGGAGGGAAAAGCGGATTACAGGAGTGGCGGATCAACGTCCTCAGTGGCTGCGTCATTGAGTACGGAAACGGTTGCTGCACCAGTGGACGGTGAGCACCAAGTGCAACAAAGCGTTGAGCTTGCCACTGAAAATGACGACGTGCGGTCCACTGGTACCGGGACCACTGGCGCGAAGGAAAGCCTCAGCCTCGAGGTGGGGGACGGAAGTTCCGAGAGAACAATGAACGCAGGCAGCAGCCTCAATCCTTCAAAGAGTGACGCCGAACCGACATCCGCGGAGGACACCGACAACATCTCTCGGACTGAAGGAACTGAAGTTTCTTCTGAAGACGGCAAGGAGGTGCCACAGACGGTCGACACCGCACCGGGTAATACAAACACAGCGCCTGGGGAAACCGAGATCTCATCGGAGTCCAACGCAACAACACCCTCGGACACTGGCATTTTGCTTGAGAACGGGCATTTGGGCGAGTTGGCGGCCATGTATCAAACTGGTGACAGCACCGTGCATGGGTGTGTGTCTCGGGTGTTGTTGCTGCTGCTTCTGGGGTTATGGGGCACTGCGGCTCTCTGCTGAATGAATTGGGGAGAGCAAAGTTGCGAAATTATGTGGAGCATCGACTGAGCAGCATCCCAGCAATACTCAATGAGTTTTGTCAAGGAGACTTTCTTTTTTTCTGTGCTTGTTTTCTTTTCTGCAAATCACTTTCCTTTTTTTTTCTTGCTGCTCTAGGGCAATCACTATGGACGTTTTTCCTTTTCTACTCTTCCCTCTTTAATTGTTTCTTCTGCACTCTTCCTGTGAGGGGTGCCGTGTGTTTGCCGCCCAACTGCTCCACTCGCACACCCACCGACACGCTCACGACGACGGCTCTGTGCGCCTCGCCTGCTGCACGCATGAGGAGGGGCCGCGACGAACGGCGCGCTGAGGGAGCCGTGACGTGTGGGCGTGCGACGAGGGCCTGTGGGGCGGAGCACACATTTCTTCCCTCTTGTTTTGTTTTCTTGCGACCAGGGCGGGCAGACACCCGCAGCGCCACACACACAGCCACGCCCTGCCGCCGTGTTTTTCTTTTTTTGCTGCGCTCACTCTCCCGATGAAGTGACGCGACTGCCGTCATGTCTGCGTTCTTCTCTCAGTCCACACACACACGAGTGACTATGCTCTGCGGGCCGCACTCACACGCCGATGAGAGGGCTGAGGGGAGCAGCAACACGCAGATGACCCCATGAAATATAAACGATGTGCGGTCACACGGAGGGTCGGACGGTTGAAAGACATTTAAATATCTTTTAATTTTATTTTCGGACAAAATGTGCAGACAATTTCTGGAGCAATATGGTAGTTAGGTGCTTTTTTGTGTGTGGTTCTTTTGTGTGTGGATTTTTCTTTTTTTTTTTCATTTTTTTTTCATTTTTTCTTCTTTTTAAAGTGTGAGGGGTGGAAAGGTGAAGATGAATTTTTTTTAATTTTAATAAATTTTTAATGAATTGCCACTGCTTTGGCTGCAGTTATGATCTTGAACAGTCTTTTTCTCTTTATTTCTGTCATGCACCTCTGCTGTACATTTTTGTTTGTGCGTCTCTTCACTTGCTCTGCTCCCTTTTTTTTACTTCTCTGCCTCGTGTGTCTGCAGGCAAACACACAACCACATGCACGCACAAGACGCACATTGCAGTGGATTTGGATGCTTCTTTTGTAGCGTGTGCTGGCGGTTGCGGGTGGCTGCTGCTTCCTCCGTGGGCATGAAGCGAGGGGAGGAGAGAGGGAGCGCACCGCGAGTCACTCTTCCTGCGGGTGTGATGCGCGCGGTGGGCCGCGACTGCTGTGGAGGGCCGCATCCCTTCGGTGTGCGCTTCTCCGCCGTTGTGCCGTGCGGTTGCTCATGTCATTTGTTATGCGCGTGCGTGCTGGGCATGTGTTTCCGGAGCGTTGGGCGGCCGCCATCATTCTTTTGCGGTTTGTGTGAGCGGGCACGTGCGGATGAGGACCAGGGCGCATGGAATGAAGGAATGGCCTGAGGAAAGGGGAATTTGGTTTGGAGGGTATTTGGACCGGATTCATTTGGCCGCGGTGGACACATGCACGACGGATGTGTTTCCGCATAATGGGGGAGGATGCGACAGGGTTTTCCGAAGTGGCCCGTCAATGCAATTCGGGTTTATAGCACTGGGGCACAGTGGTCTTCCTGCAATGGCTGGTGACGGCCTCTAGTGGACCGGTTTATTTATGCTGCTGCTGCTGCTCGAGGAGGCGTAGAAGTGCGATTTGAGGTGAGCGGCGGAAGAGCCACACATCCCGCAGTGACGGTCGTCGCTGGCCCACCGGGTGCCTCTGAAGGTTTTGTTGGATGCAACGTCCTTATGCCCGTCTCTGGATGGCGGCATCCCTGATGCAGCGAACGGACGGGGCTGGGAGCGACGGTGAGACGCAAGCACGTGTGGATGCTCGGAGCGGTCGGCGAACCGCACGCTGAGAGCATGGCACGGTGAGGGCCGGACCCAGAAAAGGGACACCGCGTGGGACGTCAATCTCCACTGCGGCGACCGCCACCGAATTCGGATTTGCTCGCACGTCCTGCGGTCCCTCTTCCTCCCTCACTTCTGTGCCGAGGACTGTGCCGCGGGATCCAGCAGCGTGATGTTTGGCCGCAGGAGCATGGCCCGAACAAATGATTTGTGGGAGGGGATGTGCACTGCGACGAGAAGGAAAAAATAGTTGCGAGACGACCACCACGACAAGACCGGAGTGAAGTTGTGTTTTGTCCACTTGCGCGAGGGCGGCCTGCCACCTGGTCGGTTAGGAGGATTATTATTTTTGCGTCGTTGCGCTTACTTTTTATTTCGCTGCGTTTTACTGCGGAAGTGCGAAGGGAGATTTGCAAGAAGTTCCTGCGAGGCGCCCGTGCCGTCGTCGGAAAGGCGGATTCCCCTTGAAAAACGCCACTTTTTAAATTTGTTTTGGGCGGGGAGTTCCTGTCGATTCAACGCGACTTTGTTTTGCGGATTTGATGCGTGTGTTTCCGAACGGTTCGATCTGTGCTCCCGGCCCACTCGGATGTGGTGTGCGCGTCGACGCGAAGGTGCCTGCCAGCCGTTTTATTGCCTCTCCCGCTGTGGCTGCCGCCGCTGCCTTCTTCCCTCCTGAGGTCGTGCGGCTTCTTGACACGATGTTTTGGAGAAGGCGTTGCCGCTCTTGTCGTCCATGGTATTTTGATTCTGGTGTCGCGGTCAGGGGACATTGAACGAGAGGGTTTGCTGCCCTCTTGTCTTATTTGCCCTCTCTGCCTGACGGCCAGTTCCACACAAAAGTGCTCCTCGGCACCTCAGTTGGTGCTGGCGGGTTTGCTCGCAGTTGTCACTCGCAATCGCATGCGCCAACTCTTCTCTGCTCCCTTTCAGTGTCGCATTTTTTTTTATTGATTGACGGACGCCATTCTGTCCGGCGTGTCACTTTGATTGGATTGTGTGGGAATGCTCTCCGACGCCGTCGGAGAAAGCAGACTGACGCTTTCACGTATTTAAACGTCATCTTGCGCGCACGTATTTTTTTTACATGTTCTGTTGGCCACTCAAACAGCGAGGTGTCCGGAACTATGCGTGCGTGGAATTCTTCCTGCCATGTGAACTGCGGGCAACACCGAGGGACTGTCAGTTTTACTCCACAGGGTTGTTGTGTGTATTCGCAGGGCTGGCAGGGAAATTCCATGCAGCCAGCTGCCGCTGGTGTGTTTTTAAATGTTGTCACTCCATGCGAATAATGTGCTTCAGCGAGTGAGGGGGATTGTTGGGTTTGTGTGCGCTCTGATTCTGTTTGCTACTTTGTGCGGGCACGCAACACCTGATTGGTGGGAAAATGGAGCGGGGCGATGCATGGCCGTGTCCCGTTCATCGTTCACTGCACAGTGGTGTGGTGCACATTGTGGTGCTGACTCTGCGATGTGACTGCGGTCCCCTGCGCGGCGGTGGTGGTGGGTGGAGGAGCGTGTTGACCCGCGGCGGGACGGTGGGTTCGTGCCTTTTTTTTCTCTTTGTTTCTTCCCTTTTGTGAAGGTGTGCACTTATTTTTTCTGTCGGTGGTGAGGCAAACAAAGTAAACAAAAAAAATAAAAAAGAACAATAGTGTGGCGGTGTTGGGGTTGGTTGCACATTGCGCTGCTGCGGGGGCGGTGGGCCTTGGCTGCTTCACCGACAGGTGTTGCACTGCGGCTGCATGGCGCACCGACCACCGAGCCGTGCGAGTGCCACGCCCAACGCCGTTGGGACTGCGGGAGGAAACGGCCGCGACTGTCCTTTGGAGCCAGCGGCGCCTGCTGGCTGCAGTTGGGCGGTGCGAGTGGGATGCTTCACCGCACGGGCGTTGTGATGGCACCTTGCAGCGGCTCTTGTGATGGTTCCGACGCTGCAGCTCGACATGTGGTGGGGAGTAAAGTGTGGCCGCAGTGGACCATGAGCAGCACCAACATGAGGCTGAGTGATTTCCTTTGGAATTATGCTGGCGGCAGGGCGGCCGTTGACGAAAGACTACAATGTGACGATGGAGCTGGTTGTTCAGGAGCCGGATGATTACGCACAAGACCAGCGGCTTCTTGAAGAAATACTTAACCTAACTGCGCACCAAGCTCTGGAGGCCATGAATAAGCCTCTTCACGAAGGTGTGCACTCTCTCGGGCAACGTAGAGACTATGAAAGAAAAGCATACGATCACTCCTCTTGCAAGGGGAACAACAAACGGGGTACTCACGCAGGTACTGACAGAAGCGAGGCGGGAGGCGGAGGAAAGGCTAAGAGGAACGCAGGAAATGAAATTTACCATTTCCACTAATATCGAAGACGTGCTGTTTAAGGGAAGAGTTCGCGTGGATAAAATGAAGCTGAATGACTTTCTTACGAGGGAACTGGACGGCAGGGACATTGTGGACACCAATCGGGATGTCTTGCTGGAGGAGTTTTTCAAGGACCCCACGAATTATATCCGTGATAAAGGAGCGTTGAACGAAATACAGGCATCAGGTCGTTACTTGAGTATGAGGCGAGCTGTAAAGGGTGAAGTGATCTTCGACGAGGATATACGCAAGCTTTGCGATAAGGGTGTCGACAATCTACCGGGGCGGTCATTGGCTGCTGCGGAGGTAAAAGCAGCTGTTCATAACTCCACCAAACATTTCTTGGATGCGGCTGCCGAGGAGGCGAGGAACCCAACGACGACGAGCGCACCGATATACCTGGAGGGACACTACGAGTCTGTGTACAATGCGAGGTGGCATCATGTCGTGGAAGTTCCTGACGGTGAGGGGACGGGAATGGAGGTGAGGGAGGGGGAACCACCGCAGTCGTGGACGTACAAGGCAGTTGGCGACACTCTCGAAAAGGATGACGCTGTGCAGCAATCCGGTGCAGCACCTCCCGTGCTGATGGTGCTCACCTCGGACGAGGGATGGCCGTACTCGTGGCACACGATACAGGATCTTCCTAAGGACGTTTTTGTAAACTGTGAGGTGGATCGAGTATGGCAGATCGTCAAGGGCGATCTAACCGCGTGGTTCAGCCGTCACCGTGGGACTGACTTTGCACCTTTGCCGCGTGTGTTGATTGGGACGCCCGGGATCGGGAAGTCGGTGGCTGCCGGCTCGTACCTCCTCTACCGGCTGCTGCACTGCGATGCCGAGAAACTCCAAGTGGTAGTCCACTGTTTTGGTGGAGGAGATGCGTACGTGTCTGACAAGACCACCAGAGCGGTGACAAGATGCAGCGATGAGGACATGTGCATCTCGGAGTCGAGAAGTTTGAGGGAGCATGGGAGGAATGTGTATATTATCTGCGATGTGGCAAAGGAGGGAACGCCGCCACTGAGACATTTTGCGCCTACTTCTGGATGGGGCATGGTTTTGGTGTAACCCCCAAAGGTAGCCAACTATGATGAGTGGGCGAAGCAACTGCAAGCCGTGCGAATCATCGTGAATTGCCCCGACGAGATGGATGTGAAGGCGATGTGCGCCTGGATAACGCGTGATGAGACTGCAGAGAAACAGGTGGAATGCTGGAAGATGGTTGAAAAACACATGTATCTTTTGGGACCGATTCCACGTCACATCTTTGATGGGGGCGTTTAGGGAACGCTGTGGAGCGGTGAAGTTTGCATTGCGGTCTATCAACGAGGTAACTGTGAGAGAGCACTTTTCACGGGGAGGTGAGTCGCCATGGTATTCTGAGGATCCGTTCCACAAGCCTGTGAAGGTTGTTCGGGAAATATACGCAGGCGGTGTGATCCGCTTCAATGCACCGATATCTGACTACCTCGAGGAACGGACGTTGGAACGTTTCCCAAGTGTAGCAGAATAAAATGGCTTTTTGAAGCTGATGTTGGCTTCGAAGGATAATATTTTGCCAATATTTTTTGGATGGTTTGCTTTGAAATCGTCCACGGAGAGTGCCTTTGCAAAGGCAATAGCGACGAAACTCACGGAGCTGCAGCCACCACCATCTTCTAAGCCTCGGTCCTCAGTGCCAACGTTAAACCCTCAAGGGTACCCCACCGAGGCAGCTGCAATAACCGAACTGGAATTATTTGATTGCCCACAAGATTTAAACTATCGGGTGCCGTACCTAACGACGTTTCCAAACTCTCCGTTGCTGGACGGATTTTTCTTTGTGGAGTCAAATCCAATGGCGCTGGTTGGGCTGCGGATGACTGCGGTGGGTGGGCACCACACCACCGCCAGCACTGTGAGGCAGTTCACTGAGCGCCTGGCGGCATATTTTAATGGTTGGGAGGGGTTATCCCGAGACATGTCGTGGGAGATCACTTACGTGCAACACGCCGATGAGTGACTGGCCGAGATGTGATGTCGACAATCCAAACAGTGTGAGTGGGGGTGAAAGCCGTGAGATTGCGGCGTTCTGGAAGGAGAAGGTGCGCCAGTACCGAGTGCCAATATCATCCGGAGGGTTTAGGAGGGACGAAGCTCTCCGAAGTGTGGAATATCCGGCGAAATCGAAAGGAACAAGTTAGGGATGGGATGGGGTTGCTTGACTTCTGGTGAAAAACATTGGTTGATTTTTGCATAGTATGTTGATTGTGTGTGCATACGAGGCGTAATTGGAGAGTTGCCCCGGTATGAGGGAATCATTGCGGCCTGTGGTGCTACGGTGTTACTGCATTGTTCATTTTCTTCTGTTGTGTGCCAAGGCCCATCACTAACAGAAGCGTCTTAAAGGGATGGACGACGAATAAGTTCTATTGAGGAAACAGTGCACTCCGTGTGACCGCATAGAGTGAGGCGCCGCGTCATGGATGGGTGAGCAATCGCTTCCGCGTGTGGCTCCTTGGGTAATTGCTTGCTCCGTGTGTGTTGGCTGCGGGGCTGTGGCCGCATCCCGTTGGCCGTGGGATTGAGCTGGAGGCGGTGGCGGTGTGTCTCTTCTCGTTCTTGTCCATTGGTGGATGACTGTTGGCGGTGTGTGTGTTTGTTTTGTAGATGCTGTTTTGCATTGTGTGCACTGTGCGAGCCGTGTCTGCCGTGGGGCGCCGAATCCTCTTTCTTGTGCGCGCACCGACACCGGCGCGACGATGCGTGTGTGTGCTTGCCCGCACTGGTGTGCGCTTGGCTGTCGTCTTGTTGTTGCCTTGTGTTCCAACCAGAGGCAGGAATGGAACCGACGGTTGTATCGGCATATCTCCTTCCCTTGTTTCTGAAGCGTTTGGCGGCCGAGGATTCGTATAGAGTGCTCTGTGCAGCCCTTTTGTTTGGTCATGGCGGCAGCAGTGGGAAACCGCGGCTGCGTGCTCGTCGCACGTGTCGAATCTCCCGCTGTTGCTTCCTCGTTTTGTTGGTGAAGGAGGGACGAGCGGCGGCGTTGGTGTAGTTGCATCCCAGTTTGAGGAGGAAGGCACCGACCTCTGCTGACGGTGACGGTCTTTGCTGCGGGCGATCTGACGGGATGACGTAATCGGTGTCACAGTTAACAGAGATGGATGAGGGCCGCACTGCGTCTCCACCCCTCTCTTCGTCCCCTCCGTCCACTGCAGTCACACCCGACGCGCGGCATCTGCACGACTACCATCCGGACGTCTGTGGGCCAATCGGAATGTGCAATCGGTGTGGACCCTTTTCCCGTGTTTGAGTGCTGCCGCCGTGCTTTTTTTTTTCTTTTTTTTGTGCAATGCCGTGTGCTCATGGTGCCGCTGCTTGCTGTGCAATGCCGACTCGTGTGAACGAGAAACGACGCATTGACTGCTGGCGACCGGCGAGCTCTCCACTCCACTCACGCACCAACACCAACACCAACACCAACCTTTTGTACGCGCTTGATGACTGGCGGTCGTAACGCTGCCACGTGGCCTGCCTCGGCTCCTGTATGAAGTCCACGCATCGGGATCGCCATGTGATGGAGCCATTCGGTAACAGGAGCGGTGCCAGTGGTCATTTGGCTTTTTGCCGGGATTCCGCCACTCGGCACGGTGGCTTTGTGGGGTTGTGTGGGTGGTGGGAGGGCGATGGTGTCACTGACTTGATTGCGTCTGCGCTGCTTTGTGTCGGCGGTTGTACTGTGATAGGGATTGTGTATGGCCGGATGCCTCTGCGTGCCACTGTGTTTGGTTAATGTTGTTGCTGCTTTTATTCCTTTTTGACCGTGCAGTTAGAGATACTTTTGCTTTACCAGCACAACTATCGTTTCAAGGTGTTAGGAGTTAATTGCAGTATTAGGTTTAGAATTAGTGGGATAACGATCTGGCGGAATCGTGTCACTGGATTCGCCATCTGTAGGAAAGGATTTGCTAGGCAGGAGTTATGGTCGACGGGGCGAGAGCGACACACCGCGACAGCTCTGTTGATATGTGTTTGGGTCGGTCGATGCAGTCTGCGGTGGGTGCGTGTCCGCACAGCCGGCACCGTGTGCGGCGCAGGGCCATTGCAGCTGTGCGTGTGGCGCTTCTTTTTTTGTTGGCGCTGGCTGCGGTGGCGGCGTGGATGCCCGCGGTGCATGCGGTGGTGTTGCGACTGCGGGGCGGTACGGTGGACAGAGCCATCACGGTTGGCCGTGCCGTGGACACGGTGCTGATGGACGGCGTGCGCATGACGAACGGCGTGGCTGTGGTGTTTGACGTGCCTGCGATGCTTCCCGGCGCGCTGCGCATCGAACTGAGGAACTGCGTGTGCGACGGCGGTGCGCAGATCTACGTGCGGGGCTACAGCGGCGAGCCGGCGAGTGACCGGAGCCTGGAGGTGAGTGTGAGCGGGCTGTCCGGCGGCTACTGCTCGCTCGTGTTTGTGCACAACCTGCCGGCACACACGAACGTGACGATCCGTGACTCGACGATTGTGACGGCGGGGCCGATGCGCTACTCTCAACTGAGCGGGCTGACGGACGCGGTGGCGTCGCCGCTTGTGCTGTACGCGACGTCGCTGTTGCAGACGCAGCTGCGTGTGAGCAGCACTGTGCTGAGGTCGTTGCACGCGGGCGGGTCTGCGGTGTACGTTGGCGGCGACGTGGACCTGCTGTCGAGCGCGGTGGTGCTTGACGGCGTGTTGCTGGAGGCGTCGGGCGGTCCGACCGCGTCCGCGATGCGTGTGGCGTCCTCGTCGATTCTCAGTCTGCGGAGCCACTCGGTGTTCTCCGTGACGAACGTGTCAGTTGTGAGCAGCGGCGGCGGCATTGTGCTTGGAGAGCGCCTCGCGGTGGTTGATTCGGTGCTGCGCATCGTGGGCGTCGAGGGGTCTGTTGCGTCGTCGCTGGTGCGCTGCGACGGTGGGACGGTTGATGCCGGCGGGTGGCTGGAAATGCACGACGTGTGGGCGGTGGGCGAGGCCTCGTCTGTGGCGTCGCTGTCGGGGGTGACGTTGAGCGGCGGTGCCGTGTCGATTGCGCGTTGCGCTGCCACTGGCGCGACGCTTGTCTCCGGGCCGACGATCACGAGCGGCGCCGTGTCGGTGCAGTGCAACCGTGCCGGTGGCCGGGTGCTGCGGAGCAGCGGCGACTACCGCATGGCCGGCCTGCCCTCCGTGAGCGTGGTGCCGTGCGACGGCTGTGCGGCAGCGCTGGCGTGCTTTGATGCGCTGACTGCGTCGTACTCTGACTGCGTGTGCAGCTGCCGCGTCGGCGGTGTGGGCGAGGCGTGCCTGCCGTTCGACGTGCCGCCTGCGAGGGCCGGCGGTGGTGGTGGCGGTGCTGCGGAGGGCTGCATGGGTGGCGTGACGCTGACGGAGTCCGTGACGGTTGGCGGCGGGCGGGCGACGGCGTGCTTTGACTCGGTGTTGTTCAGCGGGCCGATCACTGTGGCGGTGGACCTGCGCTTGATGGACGCGTTCGCCGACGCGCTGAACGTGACGCTGCGCCACTGCGTGCTTGCGGGCGGTGCGCTGCTGCGGATTGGCGGCCTCAGCGACAACACGGCGCGCCTGATGCCGCACGTCCTCGTCAACATGACGAATGTGACGTCGCTGGAGGGCACGATCGTGCTGCATGGCGCGATGCCGCCGAACTCGAGTGTGCTGCTGGCGAACTCAACGCTGCGCGCGACGGTTGGCGGGTCACAGTACGTGCCGACTACCCCTGGCCATGCGAGATCCCGGTACGGCCCCGCGCTTGTTCTGGACGGTGTCCGGCTTCTGTCGACGCGGTTTGTCATGACGCGGTCGACGCTGGTGTGTGGCGGGGGTTCGTGCGCTGCGATTGTCGTGGAGCGCGGTCTCGGCGTGAAATTGTCCAGCGTCTTCTACATGGACAATTACGCTGTCAGGTCGCAGACGCACGTGATGTACGCTCTTGCGTCGGACCTGCTTGTCAGCGGCGGCTCCGTGTTCTCCATACAGAACAGCTCGTGGATTGCGCCGAGCATTAACATGTACGAAGGCGCGTGTGTGTTCAGGGACGTTGCAGTGGATGGCGGCAGCGTGCTGCAGATTGTGTCCAGCACTTTCCGTCTTGGCTTTGCCATGCTGATGGCAACCACGCTGACCGTGGCTGGCGGCAGCTGGCTGGTGCACCGCAACAACGAGTTCCGCACCGCCTACGTTGTGTACATGACCAACTACTACGGCGTGGCGTTCCGCGATCGGAGTGTGTGGTCGATACTTGACAACAAGTTCACGTGCGGCTCGTACTCGTCTACCATCGCATGTATGACGAGCAAGTGGCCACCACCATCTGACTTGCGCCCGATCATCTACGGCGTGTGCAACGAGGCAATAGGCTTTCCCGTAGCGAATTACCAAGAAGAGCTCAATATTGGGACTCCCGTGACAGTGTTGGACTGTGGTGCGTGCACTGTGGACGCCGTGTGCTTTGCAGCGAGGACGAGCAGCATCAGCGGCTGTGAGTGTGTGTGCGCTGCTGGCGGCTACGGTGACACGTGTCTGCCGGCTGCGGTTCCGGACGGCCTTTGGCCGCTCCCGCTCCCAGATGCGAAGGACACGGAGGTCCGCTGCGTGCACGGTGGCAGCATCAGCTCCGTGGACTATCCTGATCCCGGTGTGCGTGGTCTGTGCTTCGTCAACGTGACCTTCACCGCCCCGATGTTGCTGGATCTGTCGCATTTCGATGCGCCACAACAGACACTCAACATCACGCTGCTGCAGTGCGTCCTCGTGGGACTGTTGATCAGGGGGAGTGGTGCGCGCGTACACGTGAGCGTGACATCCTCGATGCTGGATTCTGGTGCATTGGAGTTTGAGGGCGATTTTGGCGTGAGCTCCCAGATACTGGTGGTGGGCAGTACGCTCTTGACGACGTCGAG